GCTTGTTTTACTTACACTTGCTTTGACTTAAGTGTTTAACAAAATATGATTTCAGTTAGCTGGCTTGAATCTAGCCTATTGTTTGTAAGCTTCTTGATTTAAGAAGAACACAAACTTTTTGAAAAGTATCCAAAGACCATCTTATGTGGGCCTAAAATGGTGTTGGTGTTTACAACCAAATATGTTGGATAGCCTTTGTCTGTTCCTATGTAACTAATTGGGCCTGTGTCTGGTCTCATTCTCATGTATGTTTCTGATTTTATTATTTTCTTTTAGTTGCTTGTTTGCATAAATGGGAGCATTTGGGTGTAATGGGGGAGAGAGGGAGATCAACAGTTGTTTTTGTGGACTGGCCACACTCTGGTTATCTGCAGCACATCTGAAGATGGAAAACGTTAATTTAACAAGTCATTCATACAAAAAACCCACAATGGTTGCTTGAAGCCAGAACGATACCGGAGGAGAGATGTTGGGCAGCAAGCATTATAGCTGGCTATGCACTCTGCTGTTCAGTCTGTTTTATAAATATGGTTACTGTCAGGCAGCATCTCTGCTTCCTTGGGTTGTGGTGACACTTCATAAAGGGGATACTTTTAATTCACAGTGGTATCATGTTGCTCCATTTTACTAGAAGTTGTGTGCATTATAAATCCATAGACTGTGGGTCATTGTTCTAGGGCAAACCTTCACAATCAAATAGTGACTGTGGCACCTATGCAGATTAAAACTCTTGAGACCTTTAAGTTGGCTCAGAAGTGGGACAGAAGTAGAGTTGCAGCTGGTAACATGTTCTTGCTTTACATTCTTAGATAGGTGCCTGGTCTTGTGCTCGAACTCTTTCCATGTACATGTACTCATCTCAGATCTAACTAGTGTTTTACTTCTGTCCATCTTATCTGTGTAAATACCTTAATCAATACATAAATGATTTCTATATGTTAAAGTACGTACACTTAAAAATTGTATGTGTATATAAAGATTTCCTGTATACATGAAAAGCTTGTAAAGGTAAGTGAAGGAGTGTAATTTTAGCAAGAATTAAAATATGAAAAAGGTGGGATAAAGACCTCTAACAGGGAATTGTGTATATACTCTGTGTCTCTCCAAAATTTCACAGGACAATCTCATCTTACAGGTTGAGTATTTTACTTTTTAAGAGAATATCTTATGAAATATTATAGCTGGTCTTGATTATCGGTCTAGGTGAATATAACACACACATTTCAGTGTCCAGCCATGTCAGGAAACTGGACTTTTATCATAGTAAACTTTAAATTTTGTAATTTGTAAAAACTTCATTATACTGTTGCATTATGAATGATAATGATGAGGTTTAACAAAGAAGATGCATCAAAAAAGAAATTAAAAGACTGTTTGTATAAGACCTACTAAAATGTAATAAAATACAAAGCATCTCATCATATTTGAAAAATGTTTTCTTCTTTTTTCTAGAAAATGGAATAAATGGAACAGTGACCTCAAATGGAGCAGACTCGCCTCGTAGCAGGAAGGATAAATCCTCGTAAAACTGGGTTTTATTAAGTTAAATGACTAATGTCCCCAAAGAATCTGCTTTTTACATGGATGGCCCTTCAGCACTAGAGATGTTATGGATTAAAGAAATTACAATTCATGTTTTTTGATTATTGCTGTTGTTTTGAGAAACTTTTTTTAAAAGCCATTTTGACTAAGGAAAAAGGTTTATCTGTCTTCAAATATTTTGGGGGGGGGAATACAACACTTTTTAAATAACATTGACACTTTTTTAAACATTTATTGTGATGAAATAACTTCACTTAATGAGGATCACTGTTGCAACATATTTCCTTCCAGTTTTTGTAATCTTGGTGAGATATACTGTTCTACCAACTTTTTCCAAGTTCTTCAAGAAGTATTGCAAAATTGAAGTAAAAACTTAATATGCATTTTCAGATACTCTGGCTTTTCAGTTAATTACCTTGATTCAAATTTACAGTTCAAATTGGGATTTCGAGACCACACCAGTAAACCTCTTCATTTTGTAGTTACTAGCTACACGATGTCTGCTCTAAGAATTGCCCCATATCATTAAAACAAAACTGAACTAATTGGAAATGTTGCAGAGTCTTATTGTTTGTTGGTTAGAAATCTCTTACAAGGAACAAAAAACCTTCTTGAGATATAGTTTTAGCACTTGAAAATTAGAAGGGAGCGTGTATGGTCATAGAAAGAGTTGATTTGAGTAGCACTGTTAACTCCTGTCTGTGCTTTTAAAGTGTATGTGTCTTGGAGAATTAGTGTGTGTTGGACCTTCTTTGAAAACTTGTCTGTCTGATTTTAGAGGGTGGAGGTTCTTACAATGTGTTGTTGTGATTGTTTTAGGAGGCATTTAATGCTCCATGAAGAGGGAATTTGTTAGATAAATGGATCAAGTTATGAGAAACATTCCTTTATTCTGACCGCTTTGCTTTGTTTCTCCTCTGTTAGGAAGTAGGTTGATTTCTCCTATATATATTTTTATGAAAAAATATTTAAAAGCTACAACTTCTTAAAATTGATTTATTGTGCCCTTTGCTACAACTGTCTTTCATAATTGTATTAAATGTGAAGCTTTGTCCAGTTAATTTTCCAGTTTAATACGCAGTTAATGTTTCCTCTGTACCCTTTTGTAATGGGTGTAATTCAGCCCATTTCAATTGAGAGAATGAGTTAGAGATTTAATTGAGTCTTAAGAAGTTGCTAAATTAGTCTTTCAAGTTAACCCAAGTATTGGATAGCTTATTGATTGAGAGGAGTAATTATGAGCAATCAAGCTGATAAATAAAATAGTTTTAATTAAAAACTGTTACTATAGTTGAGTTTATACTCAACAAAATAATAAATCTGTATTCTGTATCTTCTAAAGTTTGGTTGCTTACTACACAGAATAAATGTTTCTAGTACAAAAGCTTGACTGCAAGTAACTATCCATTCTTCAATCATTTAGTGCTATTTAGAGTTATTGCAGTATAATTTATTCTACGTTTCAGCTAATTTCAGTCACAGTTCCCAAGTACTTGCTTCACAGCTCCTGAAGTGGACTTGACAGACTAGGACTCGCTTAACTTGACTACTCTAGGGCAGCGTGCCCTGGAATATGCCCAGTCTGCTTCAGTGGAAGTAGCTATGCCATATCTTGATTTGAAGAAGTAAAACTCAAGTGGTGAAACTGTGAATCTATCTGATCTGACCATGAAACTGGAAAATTTGAACTCAGAAATTTTGAGGGAGTTGCATACATTAAATACTAGCTGCACAAAATCATGTTTCACATGTGTTGTTTCTAAAGAGACCGTCATAGATTCTGTGTGCCTTGCTCTCAGGTTGTACCTTAAACCCAAAGGGGCAAATTTTTAAAGTTTTCTAGTCTAATACTTTTGATTCTAAAGCAGTTTGCTGTGATATCTGTCCTGGGGCTGTCAAAAACACACAGGGTGGAGGAACAAATTATGAAAGGAGCGTTTAAGGTACTTCTTGAGATCTTTAAAACTTACTGGAGTCTGAGGCTTGTAATAGTTGTTTCCCTAAGGCAAACTGTTTCTTGTAAACCTCATTCTTTGGCATAGTAGTCTTGAAATGTAAATTTCAGTTTCACTTCCAAAAACTTCAAAAGAGTATATTCTTGCCTGTTAATTCTGACATTACTTTTTGTCTCCTTTTGGCCTTATGGATGTTCTTGGTCTTTGGACTTTTTTAAAAAGCACTTTTGTTTCCACAATGTCTTAATCTTCTTCCTTGCCTTATAGGAGTTGTTGCTTTCTGCCAAGTAATAGAGAATAATTTCAGTTGTTCTAGAATTTGGATAGAGTATTGAAAGCCAGTTTCGGTTGTCTCTTGTCATAACTAAAAATACATATTTATCATTTTGGATGAGGCAAAAGCAATAATTTTTAATTTTCTACCTTGGAGTGGAAACCCCCATAAATTTAGAAGATTTTGAGACTTCTATTTCCAGTTTGATGTTACTTGTTCTGGCATAAGGTTATTGTTTGCCTGGATAACCTCTCTTGAATTGCTTAAACCTGATTTTCAAATGTTACCGCATTTTGGCTCTTTGTTTGTAGGCTGAGATTCAGTAAGCTGGAAGATTAGTTGTCTAATCATGTTTTCTTAATTACGGAATCAGGAAAATTATAAATGGAAATGACTGAAGAACTCATTATTATATTCCTGTGCCTAATAAAATAACTTTTGCTTAGGCTGTAGTAATTTATCCTGGTCAATTACCAGGTCCCACAAAGAGAAGTCTTTGTCCATGTAGATGGATTTGAATTGAGTAATTCATAGAGACTGTGGATAGGGGTTGTTTGGGTTTGGCATTTTTCTTTACCCCTCTCCTCCCTACGCCGTCTTGTCAGAACTTTCCAAGACTTACAACAGATGATTTCAAGCCTTCCCCCCAATGTATGTTTGGTTTATGTGCCAGAATCTACTATCAAAACCAGTATTTTACTTTTACTAAGTAATTATCTGTAACTTCAAAGTACAAACAAGGAATGCAGAGCAGCTGAAATTAATCTGGACACTTTCTCCTCTTGACTACTTGCAAAGATTGATTTCTCCTTTGTGAATTAGGAACATGGCTCTTTGGAAATACTGCTTTTTGGGTGATCCAATGCCCAGACTTAGGAATGATTAAGGGATTTGCTCTGCAGGTAAAATGCATAGGTTATTTCTGCTGATGTTAGAATATGCTGAAAGTAAATTAAGTATATTGAGATAATGCATTTGGAAAATCAGTAGTTATTGGTAAGCATTTTATAATTTTTTCCTTGAAAATGTTAGTTGTGTTTATGGAGTTATATTACCTAGAATTGTAATAAGCGGTGTGGTACGTTGGTACAAGGACTCAGACTTCTGTAAAAAGGGCTAATGCACATCTGCAGACCTTTTGCTCTTTGCAGATTTCTGACTAACTGCACCCAAGGTGGTTTTTTTGGGAGACAAAACGTGGTATTAAAGGGAAGGGAGCATTTTCCTGGTCATGGTAAGCTGAAAGTAATGTAGGTTGCTGCCAAAATTGGGGTTCTGTCCCTTGACTTGTCTAGCACAAGCCTTTCTAGTTACACAGTGAGTTAAACGAGGGAGCTGGTGTGGCTTGAAAACTGTCTTGTTTGCTTAGTTGCTTTTCCGCTGGGTAGTTGACTGATAGTAATCCTGGAGGTACTCAAGTATTTATATATAAGCAAGAAGAAAAGGGAGAAGGTGAATTGAGCTCTAAGGCAGCTGCCCCTTTCAACTGTGCCTTTGGTTGAAAATTACACTAGATCACAGTATGAGTTGGGAGATCTCATTGAAAGGCTTCCAGTCATCAATACCAGAAGGGAGCTGGTCTGTCTGGTAACTCCTACGTGCCAAGCTGTTTATGTGTTAATGGAATTTTGTCAGCTATTGTGGGGGAAGGGGGAATACTCAGTAAGCTGTACTGTACTGAGATACATTTTGTCTGACATAGTTTTGGGGTTTCCAAGCAGTGCAAGGTGATCCTGGCAGTGTAGAAATAGGAATTCTGAAAATTTAGCTTTTCTTGGATCAAAAAAACAAGGCTACTTTTCTTAACAGCCAGGAAACTACAGCTTCTTTGCTTTATTTGGTGTGGGAATCTTTTTTTTTTCTCCATGAACCGTTTATGTATCGAAGTAGGCCTTCCTCAGATTTTTGCAAGAATTGCTCTGTATGCATGTCCAGGTATGGGGGCAGAGGGGAAGGTTGTTCAGTTTCTCTCACTTTGTTTTCCTGTTTTCAACAAGTTCGCTAGCTGATTCCTAGATCATACTTGGTTTGGTTCCATCTTTGGTTTGGTGTATTGTGGAAGATGGAGACTGGCAACTTCAGTAGGATCCCTATGCAGTGCTGGTCATTGCTGTCCTAATTGTGCTCTGCGGAAAATGTCAGTATTGAAGGGACTTGAACACAAAGTAGACATAGTCGTGATATTTTTAACATTTACAGGCTGATGAGAGCCCACAGACAGATACTGCATTCCAGGGGGCTGTGGTGTAATGCCTGGAGGCTGTAGTAACAGTCGTCTTGGTATGCAAACACTTGGGTTACTTCTTGAGCAGGGTCTAAGAATGTCTTACAAAATTAAGGCTTGGTGAAAATATAGAGGACATCCTTTAAAAAGAATAATACTCTGCGAAGGACCGATGTCAGTTATTATCTGTTCATCGTATTTGAATTTCTCACATTGTTAGTTGTGCATTATCTTTAGAGCACTGGATTAGCCTATGGTTGGGTTTTTCTGTACTCTAGGTTGTTGTGGTGGATGCCTGGTGGATATCCCCTCTTCTCATTGCTCCCTGAACTACTTCGATTAGGATCCGATAAGCCTTGTTCTGTACACATTAAGGAACTTGGTATGCTTTGGTCGATTCAGATTAGATGTTAGAAAGAAATTCTTTACTGTTAGAGTGGTGAGGTACTGGAACAGGTTGCCCAGAGAGGCTGTGGATGCCCCATCCCTGGAAGTGTTTAAGACCAGGTTGGATGAGGCTTTGCGCAATGCGGTCTAGTGGAGGGTGTCCCTGCCCACAGGAGGGGGGTTGGAACTAGATGATCTTTAAGGTCCCTTCCAATCCAAACCATTCTATGATTCTATGCTCTTCAGAACTAAAATAGAAGCAGTGCCGGAGCGTTTCTGGATCAGACATGCAAGAAATAAGTGCGTCAGTATGCCAGGTGTCATCAGAACCCACTTAATGGGAACTGAAACTCTTTAGGATGTGAATATGTTACAATACGTCTTGGACTGCACTACAGTGTTTGGATATAGCTCACATCCAGATAGCAAGTGCCTTTGGTCGGTGAAACAGAACTGCTGTTGCCATCTACAGCCCTCGGTTCCACTTGGGCTCACAATGGGTGAGGAGTGCTGGGCTGCAGCTGCAGTAGGCTTCTTTCTGCCTTTCAGAGAAGTTCTTTTGATGTTGACAAGACAAAAGGCAGCAACTCTTATTTCAGGTTTAAAAAAAAATAAAACATGCTACCTAGTTTTGAATCCAATACACTTGATCTCTGTGTCCTGTCACTTCTATTTTAGATTTCCGCAAATACTTTCTTTTATC